GTGTGTATTTTGTTATTTATGTAAAAACTTATACTATATATTGAGTATTTAAGTAAAATTAAGGCTTCAAGGAGCATGCCTTTGGAGAATATTTCCTTAAAGGCATTTGCACTTGTTGCTACCTACTTTCTCAAAGCACTTTGTTTTAAGCATACAAACACCTTATCCCTTAAATCATTCAAATGTATGTTTGAACCCCTTGAAAAAAGGTCCCAACCACAAAGTTGGGAACCCCAGCTCTTTCTTTTTAATGTCAACAGATAATTCTTGTCCTTCCCTCTAGTCAGCTTGATATAACTGTCTTTAAACTCCCTCCAATGGACTAATGCTTTGTTTTTTTTTTCTTTTCTTGATCAGGGCCGTGAAGCCATGGAGTGGGTAATCAGGCGATTAAATGCAGAAATCGAGGAGCTGGCAGCCACAGCACGAGGGACCATACGAACCCCGATGGCTGCTGCGGTCACTGAGAAATGACACCTGCCTCTTTTTTCCAAAGAATGAGAGAAGCGGGAAGCCAGTACAACCAGCCCCCCTTTATGATGTTTTGGTGCTCTGGAGTTTGTATTAATTGAGGGTACAATTTATCCATTTCGTATGCTTTTACTGTCTACATTAGATATATTTTTAACACCAAGCAGCAACATAAAGGGATTCTGTGAAGTGTTTTCAGGGGATGCTGCCTGGCAGAGACCGCAGTAATTTGGGGGGACCTGGGGAAGAAAATGTGGGTGGTTACGCTCAGGAACAAGTTTAAACACTATTTTTATCTGTGTGTTTTGGAAACATGTAGCACTGGCAAAAAAAAAAGAAAAGTATCACAGGCACTGGATGAACTGAAAACACAAAAAAAGTGCCAAAGCACACGCACCGCTTTTTGTCCAGCCTCTTAAAAGCACCAGCGTGGGCAAAAAAAGACCTCCGAATACCAGCAAGTCTCCTCTGACGTGACCTCTGTGTTTACAGCGACACAGCTATAAGTAATACAGTTATGAACACGGCTGTGACATGATGGTAGGAAACAATGCCTTGTTGAGGAGGGGGTCAGGTGCAATGCATATCAAGGGTACGTGAAAGTGGTTCGACTGTCAGAGTGGATGGTTGGGTAAAGACGCAGCCATCAACAGTGACATGTTAACACCGCCATCAACAGTGACATGTTACCGAAATGTTTCACCGTCTGGTTTATTTGTGTAAAAGAGCCATCTCCTCAACAACGTTTTCTTGCAGGGACCTCAGTAATAACAAGACACTCTGTACCAGGTGACGTATGTAAGCCTGCATTTTGGTATTATGTGATAACTAATATTGTTATTAAGGTATTTAAGTGAAATGAAGGGATCAAGATACTTGCCATATTTATATTTAGTAGAAGATCTTCTCAAATGCTGCGTGACTTTAATGTAAATCAGTATGAACTCAAACAGTTTTATCAGTACTACTGTTCCTCAGTTTAAACACAATCCTCTCAGCATGTTCTCTCAGTATAAAGGCTGAGACCTTCACACTGACTTATTTGCACAGAATAATATATTTTAAGCTGCTACACATGCTGAGGGTGCTCTAATCTAAATATTTTGGTAAAACTGTTTTGAGAGGTTAAATGTGGTTACAATTTGCATTTGAGAAGGTCTTCATATAACGGACAACAGTGTGGTGATGGTGGAAGCTCTAGTATCTTTTAATAGCTTATATATTTTTTTTTACCTGTAACAGGAATATTTATTTATAGAAACATTTAGTTTGGAAGTAGTTGTGACGTCATATGCTTAGTTAGAAACTGTAATTTGTGAATTTTGTGCCTCTGAAAAAAAAAACTTAAGAATGTGACAGTAAAATAAAATATTTTAACCTGTTTACTAGAACATGTTTGCCAGTAATTCTTCAAATTAAGAACACCAGCTTTATAATAAAAAAAAGCTTCTGGTTGGAATGGAAACTGAATTAAGTTAGCATTGGATATAAATTAGACAATATTGAACATGTGGATGTTTATCCAGATTAATTGTTATTTTCCAGTAGCAACATGGCCGATGAAAACATAGGATGTCCAGTGCATATGAATCTGCAAAGATAGTGGCTAGATTGCCTTTTGAGACACAAACCAAACACATACTTTCCAAAACTCATTGTTAGCTAGAAGGTTATGAAGGTATATTTATGCAGTTCTTCTCTAAATGATCTACACACTGACACACCTGCAGTAGGTGTGGGCCAGAACAACTGCATTCTTCTAACATTGATCATGTGTTGATGTTACATGTCTGAAATGGATGAGCCTCGTACTGCCACACTGTGGCCAAATGCTCCACTTGCAACTTCATCTGGAGAAGTACTCATGTCATCTAAGGTCAAATCACAGAAGTTTAGAGTTTATTTAAAGTTAATTAAATGATGTTATTGCTACTGGATGGGATAAAAGTGTGACATGAATGGTTAAAAATAAAGTTAAAGTCAGTTAAATTATAAGTATTATCTGTGCCATTCTTGTTTCTTTAAGTATGCTTATGTAGATGAAGGTGTTTGTCCACGGTGACTGTTGTCAACATGGTTGAGTTACAACATTGCGCTGGGTAACGAGTAAATACAGTCTTGTGATGAAAAGATTGCAGGTTCGGTGTCTTACCTAATCTGACGAAAAGTGAGATTTTCATCAAAGTAACTACAACCAACTAAATTATTCCTCCTGTAAGTATAGTATCTGACCACAAAGTGGCAGCACTGAGCACAATGTGACCTGCTCATTGGATTTGTATTGTATTATATTGACTTTAATGGAAAATAACCTGCATTCTTTCAAAATTAGTTGCTTTAAACACGCCTGACATCATCATTTTACTCCTAAATTGGCCACTGAGGCGTTAATCCATCCCTTTAGTGAGTTTGTAGTATGAACACTGTGTAAAAAGTTGCTTTAAATTGCATTTGATTGGGGTGGACATATGCTGGGTGGAGGATGAGCTTTGTAAAGGTCCAGTGTGTAACATTTAGGGGGATCTATTGGCAGAAAATGGAATATAATATTCATAGGTATG